CTGAAATTAGCTGAAAAAAGCTCAAATTAACGAAAAAGCAGCTAAAACACAGAAAACAGCTGAAATTAGCTGAAAGAAGCACAAAAACGTTGACATCAGCAGAAGAATAGCAGAAAAGGTCAGAATGATAGCTAAAAAAAAAAAGGGGTTGGGGGCTAAAATCAGCTAAACAGTAGCTAAAATAGTACAAATGAGTTTAAAAAAAAAGTAGAATGAAATATGAAAACTACAGTAAAAATATGTGAAAATTTCCAGGGTTTTAAGGATGATGAGGATAGCTCCATTCATTTTCAATGAAAAAAAAAATCTAATTGTCTTAAAAATTATAAAATACGGAAGCACTGAAAGTCATAGTTGTATTGTCCTGAAGCAGCTGAATATTTTGATACATATGTGGCAAGTGGTGATTTTCGGCACAATAACATTAAAGTTTGGTTGTCACTAACAACCAATAACTTTCACCCAGAAAATCAAAAGTCAAGACACACAGGTACGGTTTTGCAAAAAGCAGGAGACGGTTTTCAAGTACAGAAAGTTGTTTTTATTAAACACAAAATGTGATAGACTGATTAAAAAAATATCTGTTCAAAAATGAAAAAAACAAAAACAAACAACTAATGCTCAGCTACTGAGGCTTACCGGTAGGTGCCAACAGACCTGTTCTGGATGGGCAACTCCCAAAAAGAAACTACTACAAACACACGTGAAACCACACTCACTCCTTGGATTTCCCTCCACCTGTGTTGATCACCGCAAGCATGCACACAAAAAAAAGGGACACCGCCATCCAGGTCAACCACACTACCGTCACCGGTCCTCAGCATTGAGCAAAAAGAAAAATAAAAACAAAATTAGAAACAGAAAACAAATACCAAAAAGACAGTTATTAATTTACAGATAAAATTGGAAAGTTGTGGTTTAGAAGTAGTCTTTCATCAGCAGAGAAACAATTGATTCCACCAGACTGTTGGATAGTCAACCTCTGCTTCCCCTCCTCCGTGGCGTGGGCGTCTCGAGCGCCGCACCTCAGTCAAACATTTTGTAGGAACACAGGAGTATCAAAAAATGAGGCAAAGCAGCAGCGGGGCTGATAGGGTCAAGTTAAAAGCTGCCACCCACAATTCCTGATAAACATTAACAGGTTAAAGGCAATTTMCTAACAATAAGATTCAGCGCATAGTGTCCACATACCGATCATKCTAATCTCCTTTCTCACTTGTGGGGAGATCACGTAAGGGCACAAACTCTGGCCACAGCAGCCACTACACCCACAATCAGTGGTGAGGGCAAACATGCCGACAGTTATCTGCTGGTGCAGAAGTTTATAAAGTAACTGTGCTGAAACAATTACAAGTGTGCATGACAGTCAACCTCACCTGCACTTGGCACCCAGCAGGCACAACACTGGACCACACGGTGACGTGTCTCAGCCAACCAAACTAATCTAAACCTGCASTTTACCTGTGCTTTTTATAGGGAGCACCCTCTAGTGTCATTGGCTGCCACAACACCACAATTACCCTGCCAGCAGGTGCAATTCATCCTGCCACACATAAATTATTTAAATAACATAAACACTGCAGAATGAGATCTGTGCTATAAACTGAATAGAAGATAAGCATTCACACAATGACAGAATGTGGAAAATGAATGACTGAAAAACAAATCAAACCATAAAGTGAAACATTCGGCACATATTGCACAGATACTGCGAGGTTAACAAGTCTTTAAGGACATTCCTCATCGTCGTCCTGAGTCTGCGCTGCAGCAGGAAGCGGCGTTGAACCATCTGGTGAGATTACGTAACCTTTCCCCGCAGGAAAGCAGGCCTGCAGAGCCTGCGTCCAGCTGCCCGTCTCAGAGAACGTTAACAAGATGTCAAAGACTGCAGACGAAGAGGCAAACGTCACAAACTGAAGACAGAAAGAAGACTTTAAAACGTGTCGAAGACAGATATCAGCGCTCGCCTTGGTTCACTGCCAGAATCTTGGAGTGGAAGTTCTTGGCGTTGGTTTTCTTCACCATGTGCTCGTCGATGGGGAGCCTCGCTGTGTGGACGCGCAGCTCTCTGGCTCTGGACAGGCTCAGCTTCTGCAGCGGAGAGACAAGATTAGAACTGGTCTACCTGCCCTGCATGTACGGCTATGAAGCAATGAGTTCAAATCTGTTTTAAAACCTTCTGGATGCTTTCATCGACAAGACCACCGAGGACGTACACCTTGTCTGCATCCACTGTCTCCAAGGCTGAAACAAAGAAAGACAATAAAAGTGAAAAAAAACTTAAAGAAACACATGTAATGTTGTGTATCTTTGCTTGTTTTTTGGTCTTAGTTTAATTCCTCGAGGTATTTTTGTGTCTGTTTAATTTTTTAATGATTATTAGTGAGTAACTTTGTGGTCAAATGGCGCCCTCTGCTGGCAAAAACACGTAACGTCAGAAATATAAGCTTGCCTCTACTGCAACTGAAAATATGTGAGAATAAATTATGATTTGWCAAACCTTCTTCAGCATCAGGAGTGAGGTAGACAACAGTTTCTGGAGGGAACCGGTCTAAGCAATTCTGTTCTGTCATTTCCATCTAAAAAAACAAAACAAAAGATATGAAGTTTTAAATGTTCAAAGTTTTTTTGTTAAAACAGTTCTTAGAATAAAAAGAGACATGATTCTATTTATTCAGAATGGGGGAAAAAAGTGTTTTATAGCCAATGGTGGGCATGGTTCTGCTAATCCACTAACATAAAAAAATAACTTTTAATCTAGCGAATTAGCTTTTTTTGCTAACTTTGAAAACAGAGAATCAGTTAGCTTCTGCTAATTTAGGTTTTGCCAACTATCAGCTAACAAGCTAACATCAACAGGTTTGTCAGTCCCACCAGTCTTCAGCTGGAAGGAGACAAAGACTGAGTGACAGTCGTCTTAGCGGTTAGCGATTAGTGTTAGCTTCAGCTATTTTTTATTTGTTTAGCGGTTCAGATATAGTGAAGCTATTTCTTAACTTAGCAGATTGTAAGTTAGCAAATGCTAACTTTTTGGTTAGCTGTGGCCACCACTGTTTACAGCTTTAAGCACCTGTCTAAAGAGTCAAACTTTCACACAAAGTAAATATAATAAAACTTTTCTGTATTAAACTGTTTCCTATAATAAAGCTTTATTGTGGAATAAAGAAGACAAATAATAATTACTGAGTATTTGATGAAGCCGTCATTCATGCGAACACACTCCCTGTAGAGCTGACTGTCCTCCCTCAGCTCGGTCAGGATCAGGTGAAACGGTCTCGCTGCCCTCCTGTTCGACCCGTACAGACGCCGTAACTGACCCGCCAGTCGACTTATCTCCTGACCAGAACAGAAATCAACCCTTTAGTTTCGCCTACGACCAGAATCCTGACTGTGTCGTGGATTTACAAACCTTGTCAGACATGCAGTCCGTCATGCTGAGGTCCACACACAGTCTGAGCCCGGTGGTCTGAGCCTCGGCTAAACGCTCTCTGGTGATSGCCTTCAGGACTCGCTTGGTAAACTGATGCTCTGTGTGAGGACCTTTACGGAAAGAAGAAGAATAAAACCAAAATGTTAAAATAGAAAACCTTAAACAATCTTAGAATAAACTATTTTGTAGTTACAACTGCACAAAGCAGCCAGGTCACAGATTATATGAAATTATATTTTACATAGTAAATAATCCTAACGTGCATTGATTTATCCAGTGTTTTCTCTGCCAGAATTCACAGATAAACAGAAAAAAAWACGTGGTTGCATCCATCAGATTTATTAGCAATGTGGGTTTGTTTTTACAGAATAACCTCTGACCCACAACGCTGTGCAGAATACTACAAAATGGTCTATTTGATTTCCTATTTTCCTTTTTTTTTATTTACTTTATTTTTTACCTGATTCCTGCGCCCGATTGAATCTCCTCCTCTGTCTCTCTTCCTTCCGTTTGCTCTTCTTGGCTGCCAGCTGTCTCTGCCAGTTCCTCTGTTTCCTCAGGACATTCTTCTGTTTGTGAAAATTACACAATTTAACAAACAAACAAACAAATGGAAGAGAAGAAACAAGCAACATAGTTTAAGCAAATATTTAAGACGCGTTATTAAAAAATTCTGACCCACATTAAACTACATGCTCACTTCTAAGCCCTATAAAACAAATCAGGCTGAAAACAAACATACTTAATATTGTTTCAGATTATAAYAACAGATCAAATTAATCGGTAAGCAGGAAAAACTACATTTAATTGCTATTAGTAAGTTAAGATTTTTAAGTAGAGTGCTAACCCTCACAGAAACATGTCTTTTTGTAGCCAGAAGTACTTATTAAATATTTAAAAGTGAAATACTTACAGAACAAGCTGCGTCGTCTCTCCTGGTTGTCGGGTCTCCATCAGCCTCCAGGTCGATGTGAAGAAGCTCCATGAGCTCCGACACACCGCTCAGCTGTGCTTTACACATGTCGAAAATATGTTGTGTATCAGCTGCAGATAAACACCGTTATACTTCCGCTAGTTTGAACATTTTTAATGCCAAGATAAACAGCTTCCTAAATTACTTTTCTGTAGTACGTAAGACACGGTGACAGTAAAATATAGAGGCGATAGTTAGTTTAACGTGCTCGTGCTGTGCATTCGTCGCTTTTGTCGCTGGAAAATGACGTCATCGTAAACAAACCGAAGGGACCTTTTTTTTTTTTTACAAACAAATCTTTATGTACAAGCTTTCACTACATAACAAAAAGGTACCACTCTTTACATTGAACAATTACATTTAAATGGGCGCTTTATGACACGAGTAAACTAACAGTAAAATAAATAAATAAATAAATAAATAAATAAATAAAGATCATAACTAACTAACAAGGGCCATCATTAAAGTATTGTGTTATCATTTGAACACGAGAAGGGTTTATTCAAGGAAATTAAAACTTTCCAAAAAGGAAATAAATTTACCTGCCTTTTTTTCCCTTTACAAGCTTTAAAGACTTTGCATATAATTTTTAATCATTCCTCCAGTGGGACATGTTAGGTTTACTTTTAAAGAAACAGCATTTGTGTAAATAATGTTTAGCTAAAAAATATCCAAATATTGATACCATATTCTTTACTACTGCAATGGCCAAAGTCCATTTGTGTGTGAAAGGTTTGTGTGCAGGTGGAGACTCAGACTGTCTGCATCC